TTGTAACTCCGGTGCACTTTTTTTGCCTGATGCACACACACAGTTTCGTTTTTCATCACCATCAGCAAAAAGGAAAGTTTCATTCAGTTGGTAATGTGAAAGACAAAATAAAGTAAAATAAAAAGACTGTTGTTGACAGTAAAATTAAATTACTTTTTTCGTTTCAACAATAACTTGGATTGTAACTACCTCTTTTTTTTGAGTAAGAATACTTTTGAGTTAGCTAAAACGATTTATTGTTTATTCAGGCTATCATTAAGTTATTAACAATGTTACAAGCTCAGAAGCCTTTGTTTTGGTACAAATGCAGTACTATATTTTTTTTGGTAATCGAGTAATGCAGGTAAACATTGTGTTTACTTTGTGTTTCTATTTGTCAACAAATATAGTAACTAAAACCAATAAAAACCGGTCAAATATTACCATTGCTCAAATGACCTGTGTTGTCTATCAGAATCAAAAACTAACTAAACAAAAAATCAAAATTCAACAACTCAGTAGCAATCACGCAAGATATTACCCCCTGTTCTTTTACTTTTTTTCNCTGTCTATCAGAATCAGAAACTAACTAAACGAAAAATCAAAATTCAACAACTCAGTAGCAATCACGCAAGATATTACCCCCTGTTCTTTTACTTTTTTCCATTCAGCTAATGAGCTTATAATTGCTGTGTGGCAAGCAATGTAGTACTACATTGAACACACTCACTCAAAAAGTACACAATCAAGGAGAAGCGATTTGGGTGCAAAATGGTCTGCAACATTAGCCACCGCCGACATTAGGCAATCTGCTCACTGATACGACAACAACAACAGCAGCAGCAGCAGCCGATTGCACCGATTCATGCTAACTCATTCCTGAGCACTCCAGAGCAAGAGATAATGTAAACGGGCAGCAGCAACATTTAATCTCAATAATGACTTTGACAGACAACCAGACAGAATAATACCAGAAAGAATACAAAGAGTGAGGAAGGCAGACTAAACAGAACAGGACAGAACAACAGTTAGATAGACAAATTGTAAAATTAAATAACAAAACAAAATGCTGCTGGAAACAGACTGAGGGAGGCACAAAGGCATTCACTCACACAGGCAGACTGACTGACGAGCAAGATTGGTAGGTTAAATTAGCAAAGATAAAATTAATGAGCCATGTAGTCAGGCAGGGAAGCAGGCAGACAGGCAGTCCTCCTCGTCGCAGAGGGTTCTCTGCCAGAGTTCAACCTTTCCCTGCTGAATGAAAAAAAGTTGAGTTCAGTCTTCAGTTTCTCCAGCGCATTCCTCATTGACAGTTGTCTCGGGTAATTTTCAGGGCCTGCAGCCTGGCAGTCCAAGAGTGAGTGTTTCCAGTTAATCAGGGAAACGACTGGTAGTAGTGCTATGCGAACTTGAGAGTACTCTTTCACTCTCTCTTACCACTCTTGTGAATTCACTCGCCGGCAGTATGCAAATGTCACCAAGAGGACCGTCGGGCGGTGTGTTTAGTAATAATTAAAATGAATTCCAAGCACCCTAACGCAGCTCGACACAAGCGTACAACTTTGCTTCTGTGCTGCGACTCAGACGCGAGTGCACTTGCCAAACACTTTCTTTTTCCCCCTTCTGAACATGAGTTTCCCTAGAATGATTGGTCTGCAGGCTTGGCAGGCAAAAACAAAAAGAAGAAGGAGAAGTAGAGAAACCGGTAGTTTTTGGACTGGGTTGCCCCGATGATTGATCCGTCTGAGCAGCAGCAGCACACTTTCTTCTAAATCGGCTCTCTCAGCAACAAAAAAACAGCAGCTTGGCGCCCACTTTTTATATTACATTTTTTACTCATTCTCACCCTCGCCCCCTTGTTCACTACTTCTATTATCGAGTGCTGAAATCTAGCTAGCTAGCTGAAGATAGGGCTGCTTCAGTTCTCGATCATGTATTTTATTTTTTCTCTTTTTTCCTTCTCCTTCGGGTGAGTGAGCAGACAGACAGTGGAACAACAAGGAAAGGAAAGTACTTCTTCCTGGTTGTTCTTTCTGCTAGAGCAGGCAGAGGCAGCAGCAACATAAGTGCTGAATCATCATCACCATTTTGCGCCGATCACTAATGGGCGAGCACGGTTGGTGCTTGGCTGTCCCTCGATCAATCCAATTACGGTCAACGTGCCACAAAAGAAAGCGAGGACGAAGATGGGCTTTAAAGTGTGCATTTGTGTGTGTGTGTGTGTGTGTGTGTGTGTGTGTGTGTGTGTGTCTGACTATCTATCCATTTTCGACCATTGATTCATTGTGCTTGAGAAAAGTGAGGGGAGAGAGAGTTTGCACAGTTTGCAGAACTGTAGAAGCCCGGCAACCCCGGCTGCTGCTCCCTGGTTGTCCCAGCAGGCTACAGTGTAATTAGGAGTGAAGATGGTGGTGGTGGTGGTGGTGGTCAGTGGACACATCACCCTCACGTATTTTTGTGTTCCGCAGAAGAAGAAGGCAAATGATTGCTTTCCCTGCCACCACCACCACCAACAAAAATGACCGAATTAAGGGCTCTCGCCGTCGTAGTTGTCGTCGTCGTTTTTGTCGTCGCCATCAAAAAGGAGAAAGCAAGAGCAAGAAAGAAAGCTATCTGAAATTAAATCTTGCACACTATTATCAGCACCCGCACTTGCTTCTGCTTCTTTCTTGAAGAAGAAGGAAAGTTGTAGTTGTAGAAAAAGAGGGGACAGGAAGAGGAATGAGGGAAGAGAATGAGTGGAAGAAAGTGGAAGAAAACAAGAGCAAAGACAAACAGTGAACAGAAAAAGAGAGACCAAATTTAGAACCAGAAAGAGATATCATGGTATAGTCGCCGACATGGCTCTATTAGCGATGACGATGACGATAAATGTTTGCTTTTGCTTGGTCTAACAAAAAAGAGAAAGTAGTAAAATTGACAAAATGATGGAACAGAAAACGCACAAAAAAGTATGCAGGCGTACCACTAAACAAAACTGGCTGAGTAAACTTCTGCGCCTAAAGAACTTCTCCACCAACAAATGTAAATAACGAGTGGCAGACTCTTATTTGAAAGAAAGTGAAAACAAAATGAGACAAAAAAAGTTGAGGGGGGAAGTACAAAAATATCGAGCTGCAAAAAAGTAGGCGGCGATAAGAATCGATAGTAGTAAAAGAGTGTTGGCGCACTTTTCAGTCAGTCGGCCACTGAAGGGCAAACAGATGACCGATGTTTGTTTATGTTTGTTTATCATCACAGTGCTAACTTTTCGCAATCCTTTGTTTATTCCGTTTAGTGTCTGCATCGGCAGCAACCGCCGCCGCTGCCGTCGCCCTTGCCACCTCCTCATCTTCATCTTCATCCTCATCTTCCTCTTCCTCATCCACCTCGCCTCTGCTTATCATCCACCCACCTCCAATGGCAGCCGCCCTCAGTGCGGCAGTTGCCTCCGCCTTGAGCTCCTCTTCACCTTCATCACCTTCATCACCTTCTTCACCTTCCTCGCCGCCTCACTCCTCCTCCTCCTCCTCGTCGACGCCCTCGCAACGCATCTCCGCGAACATCGGCGACAATGTGATCCTGAAGTGTGCCTTCCCCGAGAAAGTGCAGACGCCCTATGTGATACACTGGCTGAAGAACGGCCAGAAGCTGCCCATCTACATGTTCTACGACGGCTACCCGCCGCACCTCGGCGAGGGCTACGAGGGCCGCGTGTCGCTTCTCAACCAGGCGGAGGCCTCCCTCAATCTGTCCAGCGTCCGAGAATCTGACCATGGCAACTACGAGTGTCGGGTGTACTCCCTCTCAGTGCAGCAGTCAGAGGAGGAGAACCGAAATGGCACATGGGTCCAACTCGAAGTCAACTGTAAGTTTTGTTTACCTTTTTTATCGTTTTAGCGTTTCCTTGTTGTGGCCTTTTTGCTTTTTCCACTAGGTCGTTTTAATTTTAATTGCAAACCAGTGCCAGTTAGCCTATCTTTTTTTCTTTTTATTGAATAGAATTTCACCCCTCCTTCTCCCTTTTTCCTCCGATTGTTTTTTGACTTTTTGTTAGCTAGCTAGCTAGCTTTTTCCAGCACGATAAATTACCACTGCTTATCGGGAGGGAAAACTGCAATTAATTATTGAACAATGGCGGCAGCATCGGTGCAGTGAGCAGTGTGTGTATGCTTGTGCACTGCCATGGCGAAATGTTAATTTTGGAACTGCATTTCTGTTTGCATCAGTGTGTTTTGGGCTTCGGTCACCGAGTCACTACGCAGCGGCAGTCAGTCAGTCAGACAGAGAAAAGAAGAAAGCGAGTAATCTTGCGTTAATAATTGATAACTTTAAGTTAAATTTCATTAATTATACCAAGAAGAGACATTAGGAGGAGAAAATGGAAATAGAGAAAGAGAGAAGGAGGAAAATTGCAGAATAAAAGTTGAAAAGAACCAAGCTTAAAATTAGCTCCATTTTAGTTGCTCAACATTTTAGCGGTTGACTTTTTGAAAGGTTTTTTTGTTTAAATGCAAAGATTACATTTGTGAGTTGATAAACTAATGTTTTATGCAAAAATCTTTTATATAAACAGCTCCTCCTCACTTCAAAGAGAAACCGCCGGAAATGATCTTTGTAAAAACGGGTGATACGTTGACGGTGCACTGTAGGGCGCACGGAACGCCCACGCCGACGGTTAGTTGGCAAAAAGTAAGTTCACTAAAAGTTTTTGGAAAAACCCCAAGTTTCTAAAACCTCAACTCTATTTTCATTTCAGGACACTCAACCAGTACTGACCGGCGGCTCAGTGCACGTCCACGGCGGTGAACTCCACCTGAAGTCCATCACCGAGGCGGAAACGGGCACGTACGTGTGCGTGGCCAAGAATCGGCAGGGCGTCCTGCGGGCAACCACTCGAGTCCTCATTTCCGTGGCAGCTGAAATCGTCAACCCGCCGCGGAACACCACCATCATCGAGGGCAATCAGGTGGAGCTGACCTGCGGGGCAAAGGGCGTGCCCAGCAACATCACCACCCGCTGGTACCACAAGGGCATCCTCATCAGTCAGCTCGGCTGGCTGGCCCACCGGGTGGAGGTGAAGCCGAACGGGTCGCTGATCATTCGGACGGCCACCGCCGAGGACAGCGGCAAGATTACCTGTGATGCTTTTAACGGCGTCGGCGAGCCGGACACCGCCTTTGCCTACCTCAGTGTGGAGTGTAAGTGTGCACATTTTTTTATTTGCTTTTTTGAGTTTAGGTAATTATCAGTTGCTAATTTCGGCTTTTCAAGCTAGGGCCTAACTTTATTTATTCTACTGCAGACGATTGCCGCTTTCTTTTTATTCCGTCTAGTCTAGTCTACTGTGCAGTCACAGTTTTTTTTGTTTTGGTTGTCTACACCACCGCTAACATATTGAGGAGAAGGAGGAAGAGTGGGAGGAAAAAGAAAAATTTTGTACTTCATCTTCTAAGACAAACGAGAAATGGTGAACCAAACAGGGAACAAAAAAGCGGGCACAAATGCAATTAAAAAATCGTCAGTGAGGCACATTGGAGAAAAAAGAGGAGCAAAATGTGGAGAGACTCTATCATTGCGACTCTTACTCACACTGCCTTCTAATTCGACATCGAAATCGATCATAAATAATTCATAGCCCTTTTTCGCTCTTTTTTGCAAGCTAGTGTCGCGCTAACACACACATCTTCTTTTAGCCTTCCTTTTCTTTTTCGTCTTCAACTACATTTACAATTTTGAACAGACCAGACACAAGCTTGCTTGGTGAAAAAAAAGAGAAAAAGCGAGCGAGCTATCTTGGTTGGTTTAATTGTAATTTAATGCTCTTTCCCTCCCTCCCTCTTGTCATTCTCTTGTCTCGTTCATCTATCTAATCTAAACGCGCTAGACGTTGTTTTGGGGAGGGGGAAAAAAGAAAGAAAGTTTAGTAGTGGTAGAAGAATGGAAAAAATAGGCAAAAGAATCGCCTTAAAATGCAAGCCCACTGCCCACTGCCTTCACTTTGCTTCAATTCGCATGCACGATGTGAATTGCAATTGCAAGCGCAAAAAATCGAGTGTGCCAGTCAGCCAAAAAAGTCTGAAAAACTAAACTAATTTTCTGAACTTTTTTTTCTTCACTCAGTCGCCGCCCGTGTGACCTACTCGCCGGCTCGTCAGTACCTTCCGCTGGGCCTGTCGGGCATTGTNAGGGGATAAATAAAGAAAGTTTAGTAGTGGTACAAGAGTGGGAAAAAAGATAGGCAAAAGAAGCAGCCAAAGAATCGCCTTAAAATGCAAGCCCACTGCCCACTGCCTTCACTTTGCTTCAATTCGCATGCACGATGTGAATTGCAATTGCAGGCGTACAAAAAAAGAATTTAGTGTGTGTCTTCCAGTCAGCCAAAAAAAGTCTGAAACCGGCTAAACTAATTTCCCAACTTCTTTTTCTCTTTTTTCCCCATTTCAGTCGCCGCCCGTGTCACCTACTCGCCGGCTCGTCAGTACCTTCCGCTGGGCCTGTCGGGCATTGTCAAGTGCTACATTCAGGCGTCGCCGCCGCTGGAGTTTGCCACCTGGACCAAAGACAGGCGGCAGTTTGACCCCAGCACGACGCCCAACGTTGAGCTGCTCGCCAACGGGTCGCTTCTCTTCACCAAGGTCACCACGGAGCACCAGGGCGTCTACCGGTGTACGCCTTACAATCTGCAAGGGACGGGGACGCCTTCCAATTCGATGGAGGTCATCGTCAGAGGTGAGTCTCATATTTTCCCTTTTTTAAAACATTAGTTTATAAGCAAACCTTATCGCTTTTAGCAAGGGTGCCTAAACGATTCAGTTCTAGCGTTAACAGAGTTCTGAATGATTAAGCACCCCTGCTGGGCACAGTNACTGCTTGCCAACGGTTCGCTTCTCTTCACCAAAGTGACCACAGAGCACCAGGGCGTCTACCGGTGTACGCCCTACAACCTGCAGGGCACGGGGACGCCCTCCAACTCGATGGAGGTCATCGTCAGAGGTGAGTGTCATATTTTCCTCTTTTTTTAAAACATTAGTTTATAAGCAAACCTCATCGCTTTTAGTGCGAGCTCCTAAACGATTCAGCTCTAGCGTTAACAGAGTTCTGAATGATTAAGCACCCCTGCTGGGCACAGTAGCAGCAGCAACAGCAGCAACGGCAGTGGTAATTAATGTTTGCGCCATTTATGCGCCAGTTAACTTCTAAATAATATAAGTTGGCAAATAAATAAATGACCAGCAGTAGTGCAGTGCAGAGCGGTCCGCCTAATTGAGCCAAATTGTCTGCCAATCAGGGCTGGCAAAACTGCCTGCACACAGCAGGGATTTTTTATGTGTGTGTGTGTGCGCTGTACAGTAAAGTCATAATTGTGTGATGCTTTTTCGATGCCTCTGTACAGTTTCTGTACGTCGTGATCAAGTCAGTTATTTCTAGAGTATTAGGGCGAAAATTGAATTGGGTTAGGGTGAGGGGAAAGAGGGAAGTAAAAAGGACCCTGCAGGGACAAAATGTATTTTTAGTTCATTGCTGCTGCTGTTTGGTGAGCTGAAAAAAGTGTCAGTGAAAGGATTAATCTTTGTAGAAGCAAGAAAAAAATGAGACAAAGAAGGGATAAATTAAACCAAAGCAAATGCTATTTAAAGCTTAATTAATTATGCTTAGCTTGGGGAAAAAGAGGGAAGAGTTGAAAAATTAACTGTAACAGTGCTAAAAACAGTTTACACTTTTTTGTTGTAATTTTTCATTCAAGGTTTAAATTTTAAAGTTAAAGTTTAAAACAGCAGTTGAAAAACTAAATAAAAGCTGTGATTGCATTACAGGCAAGCGGGCGTTCACCTAAAAAGCAATAAAAGCAAACTGCACTGAANGGGTTTGAATTTTAAAGTTAAAGTTTTAAACAGCAGTTGAAAAACTAAATAAAAGCTCTGATTGCATTGCAGGCAAGCGGGCGTTCACCTAAAAAGCAATAAAAGCAAACTGCACTAAACATAATCAGACCAATTTAACAAAAGTTTATTCATGTTTGAAATATATGGAAAAGAAGTAGTGAATTGAATTACTTGTTATTGTTACACAAGTGCTTAGGGTTTAGTACGCTGTACAAGCAATTGAATGAAAATTAATTTGATTTAAATTATTTCATTTCAATTCAAAGGAAAACTCTCTAATGCACAATGTAACAATGAAAAAAGAGAGAAATCTGTGTAGCTTTTTCTGCTGTTGCACTTGACTTGGGCAACAGCACACTACAAAAAGTCAGTGAGCTTTTTGTAGTGTGTTATGCTGCTGCTGTTTCTTCAAACAGTTTTTTGCTGCAATTGCCAATAGATTATCGAGTGACAAATTCAACTGCTTCTTTCTTTTTTTCTCTGCCTCTGCCTAGGCAGTAATTGGAAAGTGCACAGCAATGGAAAAGTCATCAGTGCGTGGAGACATCTTTGCTCGTTTTTGCCATCTTTTTTTCGGTTGCACGCAGACTTTTGATTTTTCTTTCCCCTTTCCCTTTTCTGTTAGTGTAAAAAATTTGTTGTGTTATTAGAGAGCAAGCAAGCAAAAATGCAGTTCAATTTATGTTTAATGCAAGAAAACAACAAAAAGAGTATTAGACGGAGATCTTGANGTGTAAAAAATTTGTTGTGTTATTAGAGAGCAAGCAAGCAAAAATGCAGTTCAATTTATGTTTAATGCAAGAAAACAACAAAAAGAGTATTAGACGGAGATCTTGAAAACTGTTGTAGTGCTGCAAAAAACAAATGAAAAACAAAGTGGCAAACAGAAACAACAAAAAATGAAAATGACACAAGTCATTGTCTCAAAGAAATAAAAAATAAAAAGAATCATTGTAAAAAACTAGTTTGTGAACAGAGTTGGTAAAAACAAGTCTAAAAGAATCAAGAATTAACTTTTTGTTTGTATGAGCTACTATTTTCTACTGCTAATTTAAAGACTACCAGTTTGTCTCCTTCTCCTTTTCTCTGGACAATCAAATTGGCAGTGCATTTTTTTTTCATTTCAAGACAATCGAGAGCAGAAGCTGCACAACAGTACGACGTGTTTGAAGCATCTGGAACGCAGTTTGACTAAACTTGTTCACTTGACACTTGAAATGGCA